TATGCAGTCACGCGACGTAATCGGTATGAAATAGCCCCTGAAAGATGGCGTTCGGAGACTTTTAGCGGGGGTCTGTATATCAAATTAATAAATAATAAATTATATGCTAATTATATATTATGATTAAAATCACGCATTAATTAGCCTAATTTATCAATAAATTTTGTAATTAGTTTATATTATATAAATTTATTGATTTTTAGTATTAAAGGTTTAAATCAGCATTTATTTTGATTGGCTAACTAGTTTTGGAAGATTTCGCTAGTAAAGTCCAGTTTCATCAAATATCGTCCAATTTCGCCAGTTTTGTCTTAGTTTCAGATTATTAAAAAGTTTCAGATTTTCGTTTTTGAAAGCTGAAATGTTTCGACCTTAAGATTTTAATTTCGTCTACAACTTTAAATATTACACAAAAAATGAGAAATTTTGACAGCTTTATTACTTACTTTATTAATAAGATAATTAAATATAAAAATTTAACCAGATACAATTCATATATCATATAATAATATGAATCAAAAATCTCAATTTTGGTTAATAGAGTTCTATAAGATGATTTTAATAGCTTGATCCTCTATATATATAATAGATTAAAAAGCAAGTTTATAACTGAGAAATTCTGATATATTAATTTTGATGAAAAGCATTGGAATATGTATTATCATTAGGCTATAACTTATATTAAAATAAGTTTTGCAAATTAAATTTCAAAGAATGTATGAAAATAAAATACTGATTCTATTGAACAAATAGATGGAATTTTATCAATATGATTTGCAGATATATTAATTTGATAAATTTCAACATAAAGAATAATATATTAACATATGTAATATTAAAAATAAATTTGGTATCTTTGCAGAAAGAAAATTATACAGTTATATTTTATGATTAGAAAATTTTACTAGAAGAATTAGATACATTAAGGAGAAATATGCTTTTTCACATACTAAAAAACAAAAGGAATTTTATCAGAATATAAATAATATTTGAAAGATGCATCTACTACATATAAATAGGTAGGATTGGATGAATAAATTTTGTTTATTGACTTCTTCTTTACCACTAAAATCTATTATATTAATGAGTGATTTTAAAAGATATTCTATGCAGCATAATGCAAGTACGCTAAAGATTTTGGCTTATAGATTTAAAAGAAATCAGATCTTGATTGATGCTGAAGAATATTTTAATTCTATGTGAAATAATGCAAATAGGAGATAAACTTAATATTGTTTTATTAATATAACTTATTCACATATAAATTATTAGACAAATATGAATTACAAATAAATTGATTTTTTAGAGTACAATGATATATTCCTGCATATAATTATTTATAATAGCTCAAATAACACATGGAATTATTCTCTATTTACTAAAGATGGTAGTTGTCAATTTGCAAAGCATAATAAATGTTAAGTTGGTTATTGATTAAAAAGCATATTAACAACCATCCTGAATATGATATGGATGATTATAGAACATACAGTATCTCAAAAATTACTTCAGTACTATGGATTTTGAAAAATTCCTTGATAATGAAAAGGAGTATTATAGATTATCAATAATGAAAAGGTTGAGTCTCCAATGCAGTGGGGATTGCGAGTTAGAATTGACCTTCAAAAATTATTATCTCAAAATAAATTAAGAATATACCATCAAATCTGCTTGTTTTCAGGATTTGATAAAGGCAAGTTTGATAAATCATATCGTGAATACTATCATCCTATAATCCACCAAAAGTAATATGGTGATTTGCTTTCGTTGTTGAAAACTATTTCATGTAAGGCCACAAATATCATATCATCATACTTGGCGCAGATATATTGAGTTAGTTGAATCTACGGATCTATTGCAGGAACATTGGGATTGCTCATGTGATAAACCTCTAACCGATTTTGGATATGCAAGGATTATCCAACGAGCTTACAGGAATTATAAGGTGATATTTTATTTGATCATTATACTTCACGTGAGTGGGCGGAAAAGAAGAAATATCTGAAAAATTCCATGACTACCCTACGTTAAATTATTATGAAAATTTTTATTATAAAATTAAAGTGACATAAATTCAACAATGATTTATTAATATTAATTTTATATTTTAATACTAAATTTCATTAAAATTTTCAAAACCCTACGTTTGATTTAACATTAAAAAATAATTATATTTAAATTGAATTTACTTAAGAAAAATTTTGGGATGTAGTCTATCTGCTTGTGCCCAGACCCCAGCGAATTCAGTATAAAAAGTAATGATCTAATCGGGATAGTGATGAAGTTATGACCAAATTAAGGAGTGGTTTTTTCACCTCCATTCTCTTTTCCGGGATTTAAAAATCTTCGATCACTGAAAACAAATGGTATAAAGCATGAAGGACAGCTATAAAAAATTAATGTTAATAAAGAATAATCATATTATTGCCTTAATAAAAACTAATTAATTGAAATAAATACATACCAGGAAGATAGCATGTCGTAAGTATCAGATTAATCATTGAATTAGGATCAAAAAGACCGCAACAATAATCGCAAGTTAATACAGTAAATATTTTTTGAACCCAACTGTCTTTTTTAAGATCACCCCTTATTATAAAGACACATAGCGGAGGACAAATAAACGCTAAGAGAAATAGGATGAGATATTTGGGAATATTTCCCTGTGCTTTTCTTAATCCTAACACAAATGATACTAGGATAAAGCTACCCACGACAATTAATATCCCTATAATTACTTTACTATTCTTATTATCATTAAATGAATTCTAAGTAATAAAAAATTATTAAAAAAAGAATCAATTTAAACGAGTACGTATGGTAATAACTCTTACCATTTTCAATACTGCGTGATTAAATTCCTACTTGAAATCGTTGTCAAAAATGAACCTAACCTATTTATATATAAGTTACTACATGTTAAATTCATGCAGTATTTATCATTTATCCAATCCTTCAAGAAATTGCTATTAGAATTATCAACGGAACGTTACGCAATATTCTATGCATAAATTCGCCAGGAGATTTCCATTGATGCAAATGTATCGTTCTCATATCACCACATATAATATAGATGGTATAATAGTATGGGAAAAACATCGGGTCAGCTTTATTGTATTGATACGGGAAAAATCCCGGATTTGAAATAGTAGCATCGACGCTAAATGTTTTTATCCGCTTCAAATTCCCCAGAATTTGATGTCGCCTCGCATAAAAGCAATAATTTTCCTTTGTCAAAAGGCTTTAATAAATTTCATATTATTCGGAAGGTCAAAGATTTCTCGAATTATTAGGTTATTTACTGATATGGCGTATTCTAGATGCAGGAGAAATATTGTTGATTTTGAAAAGTGCATAATCGCCTCAAAATTTGATGAGATGATAACTATTTTTTTCATTGGTAATAATTAAACTTATGCAAGATAAAATTAATTTGTGATATACTTGCGCAATTCGTTTTTGATAAAATTTTCAAATCTATTGAAATTTTCTATATTTAAACTTTCAAAACAAACATTATTGTTTCACAAAATTAATATATCGTAACCCTCAAGTTAAGTGAATTGCATAATGTTTGTCGCACGTTTCATCCGGAGTACCTGGTACACGTTTTTGGGTTACTTAAGGGAAGGACCTAAATTAGTAACTTTACGTTACTTTCTTAGCCAATTTCCGTTACTTATTACTTACTACCTGCTAGTTCCCAGATAAAAAGTGTAACAATTATTAATTACAAAGATGGTACGATAAAAATAACTGAATAAAAACCAAATAATATGTTACCAACATCAGATTCACATATTCTTTTATTAGATAAGATCCTTTTAAAAACTGATTTAGCGCTAGGACCAATGGTTTTTTGCGGCGCTAAAAGGTGAATTTAGTATGTGATAAAATTTTTTAAATACAAGTTAGACTAAAATCTAAAATTTGGTAACCAAATATAGTCTAATACGATGTTAAAACAAATTTTTACAATAAAATTTTCATTAAAATTTCAAAACAGAATAAATATAAGTGACGTGAGAAAGTAAGGCTACTCCTTAAGTTCCGCAAGAAGTAAGTACAAAAACATTTCTTTAAATAGATTAGATAAATTAGAATTAGTAAATTTTATCGGTTTTCCTTAAATAAATGCCGAGTAATATCTAATATTAATATTTGGTTTATAAATTATCCAATAAATTTTAAACTGACAAAATTTTTATTTAAAAATGATATCCTATCTTGAAATTTGAAACACAATAACTCACGAGATAATCAAATAATATTTAATAGTTATTTCGGCACGAAGTGCCGAATAACTATTATATTGGGAAAATCAAATTTGATTCCCAATATTATTAGCTACCTTGTAGGTAGCGGTAGTTATTCGGCTCGAAGTGCCGGATAAGTGATTTATCCGGTTTCCCGTGATTAAACTATTTTTTTTAACTTTTTTAAACTTTTTTTTTATAAATAAATAATATTTTTTTCCCACAAACAATTTTTTCTCACGATATTTTTTCTTTTTTTACGAATAATTTACTTTCGCAAACTAAATTCCGTTAATGGAAATTGTAAGTAATTTTACATATTAAAGCTATAAATTATATTAATTTTAATAACTAACAAATTTTTAGACTTATTTCAAACCTACAGCTGAGGAACTTTCAAGGGTTCAAC